AGGCTGTCATATAATAAATGTGTTTGCTTTGGGGGAGAAATTCTTTAGATTCTTTAAATTGGAGTTATAGGGCTAATAATAACAATGAAATCTGTTCTGTTTGTATTTTCTAATTGTGACTGAACTTGTAACCCTGGACATGTAATGAAAAATCACATAATCTGTACTTTTTGGATAATCATTAGCCTGTCTTTGTCCTATGAAACCTGTATAAATAAAGAAGCATCTGGTTGCTAGACAGTCAGCGCCAATGAAGTGGTCTCAAAGTTAGTCAGTCAGAGCTGCTAAATTCCTCTGACATTGTCTGACTCCCTTCCTCCCTAGCCTACTCCTCATCTCCCTTAAGGGCTGTCCTGCCAGCAAGGACACCACTCCCATTCCCCAACCCTTCCCCAGCCCTTCCTGCTGCCCTGCCAGCAAAGACAACCCCTCCTCACCGGCCCTCTCAGCTCCCCCCCAAAAGGTGTTCATAAAAATAACAATAAAGGAATTTGTAAAGTAAGTGAACAATGAGTTCAAGATCCAAGTTGAGTTACTGTGAATCCTGTTTGTCGTCCTTACTTTCTATTTCTAACTAGTTGCTCTTGTTCCTCTTGGCCTTGATCACCACTTACTGAGTCTGTTAGCCCTTTATTGGAACAACAGTGACTGAATGTTCTCAATCCTTCATTTTCCCAAGCACATTTCTAAAGCTGGCTTTCATGCAAGTTGCTCCTTCCCATCTTTTTTTATTAATAATATACATATATTATTTATTACAACTTATTTACTTTGTATCCCAGCTGTAGCCCCCACCCTCGTCCCCTCCCATCTTTATTACAGTCTTTTGCCACACCATTCCGTCAGGGGCAGGGTGACTACAACCTGTCTTTTTACCACATTTCAAACCACAGGTAAAGGCATAAAAGCCATTAATGGCTCTGTATGGAATTTTAAAAAATCTACTACTCTTTGGCTTCCAATGAATGTTCATGCCCAAAAGAAAGATCAAGCCCTAACTCTTTGGTTTGCATTTCACAAGCCCAGACTGTTAACTATTACTACTATCAACTGTTGCCTGTGTGAAAGGCTGTAGTGAATCTAGCCTGAAAAAAACGTGAAAGGCTTTGAAAGCGAACTAAAGCCAGGCGTTTCAGTAGGTTTTTTTTTGCTGGATTTTCTGACCCCACAAGATCGCTACACCTGGCACTGCTATCGAGTCTGTATAGTTCTGAGCTGCAGATAATTGACAGCAAACGATTCCGGTTTACAGATAATTGATTTTGCCTGGTTTCAATTGATTTCATTTTCCACTATGGAAGATGTTAATTCACTTCAGCACTCCTCCCCGTCAGTGCCCCTCCCATTCTTTCCTCTTCCTCCCTCCCTTCCTTGCCCCTCTCCTCTGTCTGTGCAGTTCTGTGTTCTTTTCAATCAATTATAATATCCTGCTTGTGCCATCATTAAGCAGCTAAATAAGCATATTTGACAGAAGCTCAGTGTATAATTACATGAGAATCATGATATCAACTGTCTTTAAAGTATTAGCTTGACAAACACTATGTTCATTTCTATTACATCCTCAATCTGGAATGTCTCCTTTGGCTCTTCCTGTATGACACTACCACCTCTTCATATTTCACAGACAAATTTTTTTCATCACTATGTCTTCAAACTACAAAACCTGTAATTTTTATGATGTGCCCAGACACACTGTTGCCCTCCCATTTATCCTACCAGTCTTTCTTTTCTAACAGCTGCTGCAATGTGCACTCTCTCCCACTCAAGTGCTGTGAGCTGCACTTTTACCTCACAGCAATAACTCACTTACAGGTAAGTAACATCCAGCCTCAATCTAACCACAAGTTTCTTAAAGGCACTGATCCCAGCTTATTTTCCTTTTCTTCTCCTTCCCTCAACACAGTACCTTGAGAGTTCCCAGAAAACCACAAGTCTCCTATTACCACTGCCTATGAGCTGAGATTCTTAGTTCAAAATCTTCTTTGGGTAATCACATTTTTATTTGGGAGATCAATTTGACATATTTTGGCTGAAGAAGTTTTCTTTTCAGGACAACTCAAGGTAAACAGAGAACATGGTTAGTGCTCAGTAAAACACCAAATAGGGTAAGGTACTATTTGGAAAAACCCAAAAATTAATTAATGTATTTCTGGGGAAAATTTCCCGTCAACCACTGGACTGAAAATATTTATACTTATTTTGCTACGTACAGTCTTGTATAAGAGTAGGATATATAGAGTACAACATTTTTCATGGAATGCACATTTACTGAATGTCTATCAGATATGTAAAGTTTTTAATAGATGATGGAGATTCATTTACAAGCAAAGTATAATTTGAAATCCAAAGAGCTTGTCTGATAGTGATGCAGAGGGAAATGTGAGGAAGGGTGGACCCATAAACACAGACATCACTGATGGCAACTGTCCAATGGCATCACAGGATAATAAAGACAAAAAGCAAACAACAACAACAAAACACCCTGCTTTGGGTGTTACAACTACCTGAACCCTTAAAATAACCTAACATTAACACCCTTAACGGAATGATGACATGCAAAACAACACCTGCTCCCTCACAACACACACCACTCATGTGATTCTTGCTGTGACCTTCACAGCTACAGCCAAGTATAGGAAACCAAGATGTGCTTATGATCTAGAGACTGAATTATGAGGGAATAATAAATGATTCAGATTGCTTTCAGCATATTTGACTTTATGGACTATAAAATACTTTATCACTGAAGAACCTACCACGTGAATTAAACTCTGCTTCTAATAATGCCATATGAAGTCAGAGGACTTCATAATATTTGATGATTAAAATTATTATCAACCATTTTCATTTTTACAGTTTTACTTATGATTATTATTTTTTTGAGACAACTGTGACTGTACCAATCACAGTCCATTTAATCATTTTCATTTTTCTCATGATAACTTTTAATTTTTACCTTTGGTTCCAGGGGACACTTTGGAAAACTCATTTAAAAGATTCTACTGCAGGAAACTTCATTAGGAAAGATGTTAAGTATATAAAGACCAACAAATACAAGGAAATGATAAAGACTTTGCATTGAGGTAACTTTTAGTTTTAGATACCACACTGATAAAGGTCTGATATTTAAATAAGAAAAAAAAAACACACACAATCACAATGATAATGGCAACCCAACACTAGGCTTTAATATTTTTCCAAGTTTTTTTTTTTTGTTGTTGTTGTTGTTGTTCTCAGGCATCAGGATTTACTAAAATTATTTTACAGATGCAGAGTCAAGAATGACACTTTTCTAGATGTATAATATTTTGTGCTCTCAGTCTAAGTCTGCAAATACATACATTGTGATTTTGTTCATATTTTTTAAAAGACTATTTAACTCATAAGTTTGTTGGCAAGACACTCCTAAAACTAAATACAAATGTGGAGAAAAACCAACAATGTACTCCCCTAATGCCTTCTTCACACTGAAAGGGGAATGATGAGTGAACACTGGAGTGGTCGAGTTTAGACAGTGTCACTTTATAAAAACAAGCAAAATTTGGCTCTTTTGTTCTCCTTGTGGAGTTCCTGTCCCCTCCAGGTCTTATTTATCTCCTCCTTCTTCCATAAGGATTCCTGCTACTCTGCCCTAAGTTTGGCAAAGAGTCTCGGTAGCTCCTTTGATATGCTGGTGGGTAGAGTCTTTCAGAGGTCCTCTGTGGAAGGCTCCTGTCCTGATCCTTGTCTTCACCTATTTCTGGTGTCTATCCTGTTTGCCTTTATGAATAAGGATTAAACATCTTCCCTAGGGTCCTCCTTGTTTATCTTCTTACAGCTATAGATTTTAGTAAGTTTATCCTATATTACATGGCTAATATCCACTTATGAGTGAGTACATACCATGTGTGTCTTTCTGTTTCTTGGTTACCTCACTCAGGATGACCTTTTTTAGTTCCCACTATTTGCTGCAAATTTCATGATTTCCTTGTTTATTATTGCTGAGTAATATTCCATTGTGTAAATGCACCACACTTTCTGTATCCATTCCTCCTTTGAGGGAAATCTAGGTTGTTTCCAGATTCTGGCTATTACGAATAGAGCTGCTATGAACATGGATGAGCAAATATTTTTATTGAATCGTGGGGCATCTTTTGGATAAAATAGCTGGGCCCAGGGGGTCCTACAGAGACTGATACTCCAACGAAGGACCATGCATGGAGAGGACCTAGACCCCCTGTTTAATGGAAGCCCATTGGCTTCCAACTAGTAAGGGGTACAGGGGCTGTCTCTGACATGAACTCAGTGACTCGCTCTTTAATCACCTCCCCCCTGGGGGGTGCAGCCTTGCCAGGCCACAGAGGAAGATGATACAGCCAGCCTTGATGGAACCTGATAAGCTAGGGCCAGAGAGAAGGGAAGGAAGACCTCCCTTATCAGGGAACTAGGGAAAGGGCATAGAAGGAGAAGAGGGAGTATGGGTAGGACTTGGCAGAGCCAAGGGAGGGGGGCTGCATCAGGGATACAAAGTAAATAAATTATAATAAATAAATTTATAAACAAAATTAAAAAACAAGCAAATTAATTTCTATTTCTTAAACTTAAAGTACAGAGACTTTCCTTATTAGCTTTATTGCTTTATTCCTTCCAGCACATTAAAAATTTGCCAAAAGAAAAACCACCACTTCTCAAGATTCTGTTAGTATTTTATGTAGTTTTCTAGTAACTGTTTAATACAAAAATATGCTTATTCAGTATTTGTATAAAAGTTCTATACATTGCTATATTTCTCCTCTCACAACAGCATGGCAATCTTTACTTTTTTCCAATATGCCTTTTTATTGCTGAATAGTATTTTGCCATAAAGTAGTACTATAATTTATTCTACTGTTTGTTTGTTTTTTAACTTTCATTTATTCTGTATGGTGCTGGTGACTGAACTTGCAAATGTCAGGCAAGTACTGAGCTATACTCCCAGCCCTGCTTTTCTGATTTACATGGCTTCTGTGAAGAAATGCTTATCAAAGTAAAACAGCCATGTTTTCTAAACCTGGAAAAGCAGAAAACAAATCACAACACAGAATTCTTATCTAACAAGTGATTGTTGTGGGTTTTCTCGTGCTCTTGTTTCCCAGGTCTGTAAGCCATCACTGAGGTACAGAGGATTTTGTTTCTTGAATAAGTTTTCATTTGTATAACCTAAGTCTCTCCTATGATGACCACAGCATGGTACGTGAAAAGGCTGTACTTGACCGACTTACTTCAACTACAGACATGTTGGTTTCACTCATATATTTTAATAAATAATTTTCCTGATAAATAAAAGTAATTGTGTAGTGTTTCCAGCTACAAACTTAACTTATTCCCCAGTACTAGATTTCTTCAGTAAGGTTGTCAGAAAAAGACTGGTCAGGTTTCATCATTCTTTTTGGAATAATGATGAAAACTGAAAACAATATGTTAAAAACCTGGACTTCAAAAGTGCTTGCCAACCAGCCATTGCAGTGAGGGTGAAATGCAGAAACAAGCACAAGGCATGGATCATATTGATAGTAATCCTGTTTTCCACAGAGTAGAATGACTCAGCATGTCCGTCCCAAGACAGCTGCAGCCCCTTCCATACATTGACCCTCTTATTCTGAAAGTTGCCGTTGAAAAGTCAACATCCACATACCTCTTAGGCAAACCTTAGTGCCTTCCCTGCTTTGACTCTTAGCGGTAGTTTTAGAAATGCTTTCTGGAACTGCTTCCTTTGGTGGGCTCTGAAATCCATATCAGAGAGCAGTAATTCTGATACAAGAAGGAAAATGACCCCACTTACCATTTGTAATGCATTTACACGGTCCTGCAAATGAAGCATAATAGAGAATTATTAAAGCAATGCTGTAGGTTGATTTTGTTTGCAGGTTTTTCTGTCTACCTGCTATTAGCAAATATTATTTTTAAAAATGTGAAAACTGGAAATTCATTACTTGGATGATCTCAGCCACAAAATAAAAACAGACATGAAGGAACCACAATACCTCTTCTTATTATGAACAGGACCTCAGGGCTTAATTTAATAGTAAATGAGTCAAATTCAGGTCCAGTTACTGAGAGGAATAGCTAACAGTACTACTCCACTGTTAAAATTTTTCACTTAAGGATATGTAAATGTTAGATAAATCTGAATATATGAGTCACAGCTGGGTGGTAGCAGTGTCACACAAATGACAGACACTAGCATCATTAGGCAAACAGTGAAGCATGTGACCTAGTAAAATTTAGATGTAACTTCAATAGTTATGTCATACACAAATACTGAATGAAAAATATTTCCATGTAGCCAACCCTGACTCCCAGAGGGCCCTGCTATATTGTTACTTTACAGAGTCACTGCAGTCTCTTAGTTTATAGAACTAAGATTAGATATGTGTGTGTAATATATAAGACTATAAGAACTAAGAACTATAAATTCTGCAGTTACTTCTACTACTTGGTTTAAAGTAGTAGAACTACTTTAAACTTACTACTAGAACTTGGTTTAAAGGAGTCACAGACAACAACACTGCTTAACAAGCCAAATGATTGAGAAAAATAATTTTGAAGTCAGTATCTATAATTGCAACTCTTCCTAGAGGTGAAAAGTGCAAACTGGATGTATTTACCAAGTTTAAAACTGTATTTGAGAGGAAGCTATGTCTGAAGGACAGGATGAAGACCAGCTTTTCCAGGGGGCCGAAGCCATGTGTCTTTCTTTTGCTAATTCAAGCAACTGGGGCGCGGGGGGGGGGGGGGGGAATCTATGGAATCTCAAATATTTTCCTTTAATCAGATTAACAAATCATTTACCCCTCACCTCTCACACCTCTCTTCTGCATGGTATCACACAGCAACTAGGGGCAAAATGAAGTAGGCCCTCACTCACATCCTCTCAGCCTCACCAGAAACTGAGGGTTCTTCCCTGAGGAATTGTGTTAAGTAGATCCCAAGTCCTCATACTAGGAAACTGAGTTGAACAACCTGTAAATATTTGGCTATGAGGGCACAAATTACCATATTAACCGCATATATTATGGAAAGTCAGTCCAAAGCTGGCTGCTGAGTAACACAATCTGTTTAATTACAATTTGATGGCATACTTGGTAGGACTTTAGCACCGTGATTTTCATATTTCAGTAGTCTGTGGTTACTAATAGAGTGTCACATATGAGCGCTAGCACAAATGTAGATGGCACCTCAACTGGTCTCTATTCTGTTGCTCCCAGGCTCTCTACTCACAGCAAACCTGGAGCAGCACCACTCAGCAATGCTTCAGCGTCCTGTGCAGACTGAGCAAGACAGAGCAGCACTGGCCACTTAATATTAAACACTGTACAGGGAACCCAAATATCTGCAATCTTTACTTGGACTTGAAGTGTTTCCCATACCATGCTCTGTGGGCCGACACTTTCAGGGTTAGTATATTTTAAGAAAACACAAGAACTGCCTTGAAACAAGCACATTCATGTAATGTCAAAACAGAAGAACTCAATTATTTTCCATCTGCTTTATTTTTTATCATGCTTATGACAAAGATACCATTCTGATTTATGCTATGTCTGAATTCTAACCATCTGCATTCATTCTTATCACACTTATGGCAGAGATTATCTAATTTATGTTCTATGTCTGAATTCTATCTAAATATTTGTATGATTTGTAAACATGTGCCTAATCCATAGGACCATGGGTCCAAGCAGTCAAATAACACCATCTGTTTAAAACAAAAAGGCCAATCAGTACTATATCTACATACCAGTAACTAACTCCTACTTGTCTACAGCCTACTTTCTTTCCAAGTAGTAATGGGGTCAGGGTGCAATGAAAAATGAATGCCAAAAAAAAAAAAAAAAAAAAAAAGCAGAAGAAGCCTATGAGGTGGCTTATGGGTGGTGCTTGCCAACAAGTCTGACCACCTGAGTTTGATCTCTGTGACCCACACTGTAGAAGGAGACAGTCAACTCATTGGTGTCATCTTCCAACCTCTACAGGCATGCCCCGCCCCCAAATAAATAAATCGTAAGTGGATTTTTTCATATAAGTGAGGAAAGTAAAGAAATAGGAAGTTCTTATTAACTTGAATTTTATTCATTCAAGATGTCTAAGAACAGCTAAGAGTCCAGTCATTGTTCCCATTTTTGAGCACAGTACAAACCATAGTTTAAAGTCTCAATTGAAGGACATAAATAAGACAAAATGTCTATCTTTTAAATTTTATGCCATTTAAACACTTATGAATGTAGAAAATCCTAAGTGACCAAAAATGCAACCACAGCTCTACTAAATGCTTCAGTAGTAAGGTTTTTTTTTTTTTTTCCTCTTTGAATTGCTAGGTTTTGTTTCTATAATCTTTATCTTCAAGCTCCACCTGTAGTCTAGATACCCTTTAAAAATCCTTTAAGTCTAAACCTTGAAAAGCATAGTGACATTAGGGGGGTAGTTAAAGGTTGGAGGCTCAGAGAGAGAAGACAACCTCCTCAGCAATGAAGATACTGTCATGGTAACCAAACTGTTTTAGGTGATAGATTTATCTTTATAGTTGTAGATTGGAGTCTATGATGTAAATATATCTTCTCAGGAAAATGCACACTGTATACAAAACATTTACACATAATTTTGTATGGGCTTTTAAGAAAATGGCAGACTCTCCAAAGCTATCTAAGGATCTCCAGTTCTTTTACTCTCTACAAAAACATCTAAAATAAGATGTAGGAACAGTATACAAATAAACTATTGAATTAAGGAAATCCACTTCTCCTTTATGAAATCGCTAACACCAGTAACGAGGAGGTAAGAAACAATTAAGACTAATACAGAGGCAAAAATACGAATTTCTGAGAGAATATTAGGTTAAACAACAGTAATGTGAAAAAAGAAATAAAAGGAGAAAGTTCCTTCAAATATATTGAACAAGAGGTAGGAAGGACAGAATCTACAAGTTATCTTTTTTTTTTTTTTAATGATTCGATAATTCACTTTCTACCATTCTTTAATTAAAAGGTAAAGTTTAAGAAATGTCTACAGTGTCAACAAATAAGGATTTTAATATTTATGGGACTGCCACAGAGGGGCTGCACAGTTACTGGCTTAAATGGACAGCGCTAACAGCTATTCTCACCTGCGACTATCTTACACTATCTAGTGAGAATAATGCAGCTAGACACTGTGTTCTAATTTATGCTGAGCTTGACAGGCCATGTACACAGAGCTATATTTGGGAGGAAGCTTACAGCATGCATACTGTTAAGATATATTTTAACTTTTTAAAATGAGGTGACTACTCTGCCATGAACCATAAATATTCATTTACTGATGGTCACAGTGGAGCGTGCATTAGAATTCAGGAATGAGCCGAGGCAAATTCATTAACATCCCTGCAGATGGGAAAGGACTGTTGACCAGGTTGGGAATGAGCATGAAATGGATCACTGGTATCTGAATGGCGGATCACTAACAGTTCTCTTGAATCAGCTGAACCAATCAATTAGACACACTGAATTAGCTATCACGTTTAAGAGATGAATTAGAAGCCTACAGATTAAAATAATATGAATTCTTTTGCCGTAGGAGGGTACAGTCGAGGAACTCTACTGCCCTCCTCACAATCACACGGTATTTTCAGGGAGGGGCTTTAAATATATCGTGAACACAGGAGAAAAGCAACACAGGCATACAAACATAAGATGAATCTGCCCTTTCCAAGTCAGAGCCTTACGTGTAAAAACAAACTGGTAATCCTCTTTGGAACAGAGGATCATGATGGACATATAGTTTTCAAAAAGAAAATCCCACAGTGAGGACACCTTCCCACACAGCCTACTCGGCTTCATCCCAAAGCCCAGTGCCACTGTCAAGAAGCATTCCTCTTGTCAACACTAACTCTTCTGTGTATGTACGTACACGTGTGGCTGCGTGTGCACCTGGAGGCCAGGAGTCAATGTTGCGTGTTTAATCACGCTCTTCCTCATTATTTTGAGATGGGGCCTCTCACTGAATCCGGAACTCAATTATCTGGCTAACGTAACTAGTCAGTAAGCCTGAAAGATCCCACTCTCTCCAGCTCCTTGTCACTTGATTATATTCATCTACCAAAAGGTCCAATTTTGTAAGTGGGGATGGAAATCAAGTCCTCATGCTTGCACAGCAGGCACATTACATACTGAGCCATCTCACCAGGCACCATGTCACCTCTGTCTAATGGACAATCATGCTACACCTGCTCTCCTTTTAATAAAGGATACTTGTATGAAACAAAGTGAAAGCACTATATATATTTTTCCTTTTGGATTATTTCCTCATAGCAAGTTTAACAGTGTATTAGTTGTAATTTAATAACCAAAAAAGGTGAAATAACTTCAAACACATTCTTACATTCTTCCCCAAATGTTAAGATAGTACAAGAAAGGAAGACCAAAGCTTTTACTGACTATCACCAACAAGGTGTTTCCTAGAGAGATTTCAAATAAGCTGAAATAAAATGAAGGTTAAAAAAACACAATCTCAACACAGCAACATAAAAAAAAACTCTACAATATAACATAAATTGGTTCTGAATACACCACGTGCTATTATGATCTATACAATAAACATGCTCCCTTTCAACAGTCAAACAAAGTTGCCCTAAACTCTCAAAAGCTTGAGGATGGATGGTATTAGAGAAGTTTGTACTGGTGTGTTAACTATCCAATGTTCATTTTACCTATCAATGGGTAATAAGAGTTTATTAATACCTCATCTCTCCAGATACTGTGAGTATATTTGTTATTTCATTAACTACTTGTGTGCTTTTTTTTTTTTTTTTTCCAAATTAGCCTACTTCAGGGT